CTTACAATTGCTGTTCTTTTCCTTAGGCACAAAGATATGTAGCAGCCTAGATTTCATCCTGTTCTACTACTTGATTGGCCATTCCCCCATCCTATAGGACTGACTTATTTGAAAAACGAAGAATGTAATTTACTGCTCATCCCATACCCTCACCTTTGTCATTAAAGAATAGCTGAGAGTAATAACTGCACTTTATTTCAGCAGCATATTCAATGAATGTCTCCTGTTGGGATGTTACCTCTGCCCAGCCAGACCTCTTACTTTGTTCAGAGAGGTCGTGCAGTCCCCTCACATCATGAGTCGGGCAACACAGGGTAGAACCAGGAAACAGGATATTCTGGGCTTTGGTTTTAACCTCTGTGTGCTGCCAGCTGGCCTTGGGCGTCACCCTTTGGAAGGATAACCACCCTTGGCTCTAATCATGTAGACTTAACTGCAGCCTGGTTTCTCAGTTATAATAAAGTTACTCTAGACCCAACCACTGTCTGCTATGTTACACTTTTCCTTCAGTGGGAGGAAAAGGTAGGTGTGGGTGTATATCCCAGAAATACGGAGTCATGTCCTGCTGACCATAAGTCAGAAAATATGTTAGCTGTTCCAAATGCAAACTGAAGCCACATCTTCATTTCCTCTGTCTTGCCATTCAGTTTGTCCCATCCAAAATGTGGAAGATGTGTGTATAATTCTTTGGACCATGGGGGACAGTGGAGTACCTCAAAGGATCCTGTGGATATAGGCAGAGATGGAAGGGAGATGGAAACCTCAGATGTCCACAGGAACCAAGTAGATAATAGACAGTGAATGTAAAGTAAAAAAGTGATGTGAACTGGGTGTACGGTGGTGACTGGTGATGAACCCTCATCTTTAGTGTTAAGTGATATGCAAATGACACTTGTGAGAATGAAAGTCAAGGGTTGCAAGTCTTGAATTTTCAAATAAAATGGAAATCCTGATTTCTATGGGAGGTCTATTGGTGCTTAAAAATTGGCAACTAATTCAATTTTTTTTTTAATGCTTTGCAAGCAAGATGCAAACCACAGATTGCTAGTATGCAGCTTCTTGCATGAAGTCATGCACTCTTGTCAGCCACCATCCAGTGACAGCACCTCCTTGACATCAGTCCTGAACAAGGTTATTCTGTCCTATTCTGCTCAGTGCTAGGAGCCATTCAGGATGGGACAGCTGTTGCCCAGACAGGCTAAAGGAGCAAGAGCCAGGTCCAAAGGCCATCTTCAGTGTTAGGACAGTTGGGAGAGGAAAGCAGGCCCAACTTGTTCTTTCCCCTTGCTTCTCCTCACTCCAGTGTGTGGTGGGGTCATTTCTGACCCTTGGCTCTTCTGCATTCCTATTGCTATTGGATACACCAAGGTGGTGAAAGGAAAAGTGGATGGACTGGTTTACTGGATGTCTTTGAAGCAATATCTTGGAAAACAGTAAATATTAGCTGCACCGTAAAGGGACTGAATGCCTACATTAAGAGAAACAAAATTTTAAGTCTTGTATAAACTAGAATGGTTGAAAGTTAGCTGCCAAGACCTCATCTGGAAACCTGCTGACCACCCGGCTGACCTTGTTATTTTTAAACATATATTGCCAGCTCATTCTGGACTAAGTCCCATTCCTCACCATAAACAGGTATATGGAGTGTGAGCCTGATGTTTTTCTCAGCAATTCAGACCGTTGCCTTCACCCCTTCCTGGTTTCCTACTCAGAGTCAAATATACTAAGGTATTTGTGTTTTTCCACCTGACGGAGAAAGTAGTTAATGCAGAAAGAATAGTCTTAGCCTTTGTTTCATTATAATTTAAGTAGAACTGCTCCCAAGTCTGTTTTTTGTTTTTTTTTTTAATATTAGCATTGTGACTCAGGATGTCTGAGATAAGGCTTGGAAATCTGTGTTTTTAAGTAAGAATAAGAAAGCTCTAGGTGATTCAGACAAGGGTGATCTGTGGACCAGCCACTGGGAACTGTTAGAACTGCCTCAGGCTTGTATCTAAACAACTGAAGTCCAGCTCACACAAACAGCTTGAGGATTTTGTTTTACACTTTCTAGGCTGTGGAAATATTTCATAAGAAGGAATGACTTGTTTTCATCTATTAACTGAAAGACCAACTTTTTCTTTTTTTAAATGATACTCTTAAATGTTGAGAATAGTATTGCAAATCACATACCTGACAAGGAATTTATACCCAGAAGATAGTAACTCAATAAATAAAAAGAACCCAATTAATAACTGGAAGAAGGGTCTGAATAGACATTTCTCTAAAAAAGACATATTAATGGCCAATAAGCACTTGAAAAGATGCTAACATCATTAGTAGGGAAATGCAAATCAAAACTACAATGAGAATCTCTTCATACCCGCTGGGATGTTATTATCAAAAAGACAGACAATAACAAGGTTTCTCAAGGATGGAGAAATTGGCACCCTCATAAGAGGGTTGGTAGTTGGTAGAAATGTAAAATGGTGCAACTGCTTTGGAAAACTGGCAAATTCCTCAAAAGGTAAAATATAAAGTTACCATTTGATCTGATAATTCTGGGTATACACCCAAAATAAATGAAAATATGCATTCATACATACATCTTACACATGTTCATAGCATTATTCTCAATAGCCAAAAAGTGGAAACAACACAAATGTCCAATCAACTGATGAATGAATAAACAAAATGTGGTATAACTTACAATGGAATATTATTCAGCAATAAGAAGAAATGAAGTATGGTGATGGGAGGAGCCTAGTAAACAATGTTCCTGGTGTAATTGTAGATTAATGATACCAAAATAAAATTTTTTTAAGGAATTAAGTATTGATATATGCTACAACATGAAAAAGCCTTGAAAATAACATGCTAAACGAATAAAGGCAGACAAAAGATCACGTATGATAGGAATCTATTGCCATAGGATGTTAAGTATAGGAAAATCCATAAAAGCATTTAGTAGAAGGTTAGGTTGCCAAGGGCTTGGGGGAGGCAAGTGACTATTAATGGTTACAGGGTATTTTGGCAAGAGTGATGACAATGTCCTGAAATCATATAGTGGTGATGGCTGCAAACTCTGAATATACTAAAACCACTGTATTGGAGACTTTAAAAGGATGAATTTTATGGTAAAATGCATAAAGCTTCATAAAACTATTATTTGTTTCAAAAACCTGCAAACAACAGATGCCCTTCAACAAGCGATTAGTTACTGTGGGTAAAATTGCAGTTTTTCCAGAATCTCTCCCCTGGCCTTTGTGCATCTCTATATCAATAGGTGTTTCCAAGGGGTGGAGAGGGGTACCATTTCCATATCAATAGGTAATTACATGGGCCAGTGTGGGAATATATGGACCAGAGAGGTCGGGTGGGGCCCCTTTTTCTGCAGCTGGGTCATGAGAGACATGGGCAGGTAGACATGTCTACCTTATAAGCAGTAAACGGTTTCTCCCACTTTATTTCTCCCTTTGACAGTTTCGGTTTCAAAGGAATTTGCTCCGGGATTATCCCACGGAGTTACAGTTATATAAACTGATACCCTGGAATAGTACTCAGTAATAAAACACACACCTGATACTTGAATGTGTCTGGGGAATTAGGCTGCCTAAAAAAGCCAATTCTAAAAAGTTACAGACTGTTTGACTTCATTTATACAACATTTTTGAAATGACAAACTTTCAGAAATGGAGCACAGATGAGTCACTGTCAGTGGTTATGAAAGAGGGCCTTGCTGGAGGGAAGTCAGTGTAGTTATAAAAGAGCTACAGGAGGGGAACTTTGTGTGGATGGAAATGTTTAGTATCTTGAAGATGGTATGGATGTATAAACCTAAACATGATTCAATTGTGTTGTGGGTAAAACTAATATTTCCAGAATATCTCTCTTGGCTTTATGCATCCTCAGGGGTGGAGAGAAGTACGGCTTTAGTTCATCTGCATATCAATAGGCATTCCTCAGGGGTGGAGAGTAGTTCATCTCCATTTCAATGGGCAACCGGGGAAGGAGGGGGCTGGTTTTGCTTCTGCCCGAGCAGGGAAGAGAGACTGCCCTGGACTGCAGTTTGTAGGCAATAAACAGATTTTAAACTTTATTTCTCCCTTTGACTGGTTTTGATTTTAGCAGTATTTTGTCCCAGGATTTCCTCTCCCTGGACTTACATGTGGAAAACTAAATACACACCGAAACTTACTACAAATAAACAGGAAATCTGAATAAGATCAGTGTATTTTGTCAAGGTTAATATCACTTGAGTATTGTAACTATATCACCATTGAAGGAAAGTAGGTAAATAGTACACAGGATCTCTTCATATTATTTCTTATAACTGCATGGGAATCTACAGTGATCTAAGATTGTCAGTTACAAAAAGAGATGACTTGGGTTTCTATGGCATTCCCGGTGTTTCCCCATCAGTGAGGACCTTTGACACCTGGAGAGGTAGGTGTAGTGGAGAACATATTCCCATAACACAGGTGCGGACATTGGGATGCAAAAGATTATGTGACAGCTTGCAAGTGGCACACAGCCAGGAACAGCAACTAAGTCTCCAGACACCCATTCCTTCAACAAATATTTATATGAGTGACTACAATGCTCAGAAACAGTTCTAGAATCTAGGCCCTTATAGCCATGAACAATACTCAAACCAGTCGCCTCTCTTGTAGGAATGACCACACAGCTCAAGGAGGTAAAAATGGTCCCCCACTGTCCTCAGTGATAAAAATTTACAGGTCGCTGGCTGCTGGCCCGCAGTCGAGGAGACAGAGGAGGAGCAGGCCAAACAGCTCTAGACCACTGCATTGCAACTGGCGAAGACACCAAAAGTCCTAATGCTCTTCCTAGCAGGAAGGAAGTGTTTGGCTTGGACAAGAGGCCAGAACTAACATTAAGAGGATAAACAAAGGCGGGCTGGGCGCGAGACTGACTCAGGGAAGTGGGGTCGGTTTCCTCAACCCGGGAGTAAGGCCCGTAGAAAACTACAACTCCCAGAGTCTCCCGGGGCCGCCCAGCCCCGGTGGTCATGTGACCGCTGCTCACGTGTCTCCGCGGCTGGCCCGGGCTTGAAGCGAGGTAGGTGGGTGGCCGGAGATACAGGTGGGGGAGGCGGGACGCGTCAGTCCCCGGTGTACCTGGGACCCTCTTGTGAGCCTTACTCCTGCAGGGCCCCGAGCCCGGCGTCCTCGGTTGGACCGGCTCTGCCGCGCCATAGCCCGGTCTCCACCTAGTGTCCACCTAGTTCCAGGCCCCGATCAGTCGCAGAGCCCCTCCCCGGTTTACCCCTCAGCAAGCCCACACGCCTTGCTTCAGGCCTGGGGGTTGTCCCCTGCGCTTGGGGTGCATCCTTGCCCATCCTTTCCCACCTCCCAGTGCAGCACACCCCTTGTACTTCTGGGTTCAAGCCCCTGGCTGGACTGGGCACCTGCTCCGGTTGGGATCTGAGGGTCCTACTGCAGTGGTTAGAGCTCTGGCCTGAGCATGTGGTATCAGGCTTCTAGTTCCAGCTCTGACACTTCCCGCTGTGACATTTGTCTAGCCGCTCCCTCCGTGGGCCTGTTTCCCTAACTGATCTAGTGCTCCCTTCTGAGTTAGTGTCAGAGCAGCTAAGTTCCCTTTGCTGTGCTGACCAGCACAGAAACAGCTCAAACTCTTCTCTCGGCCGACTGCAGATTTTTGGTAGTCTTGAGAAAGAAGAAATCAAGGCCAAGTAGGGAAGTGAGGAGAATCAAATCGCAGGTCTTTAGAGAGAAGGAGCTGTGAGGAGCTGTGCCTCCTCTACCATAGCCCATCAGGAGGAAAGAGCTGGTCAGCTGGGGACAATGGAGCTAAGTAATTTGGGGGAAAGGGAAGCTGAGAGATCTTACCTGTGTAGGGACCTCCTTGTCAGAGGTGTGAGCAGGATGGAGGAGGCTTCCTCCCAGCTCTGGGAGCACTAACTTGCAGGGCTCTCTCAGGAGCTATGCTGAAGGCCTGGGAACCCCAACCTCTGCCTCACTGACTTGATTTTTTGCTGAGTTGCTGGCTGGGTAGTGGCAGGTTGCTTAGGAGAAAGCATCTGACTGATCTTTTTGCACTTAGAGCCAGCAGAGAGAGATTTCCTCTGGAGCTGTGTCCTTTGGTTGAATGCTTGGTGACATATGTCTGAGTACCCAAACTCTCTTTTCCCTCTCTCATGAGTGTGTGGTTCCCAACTTTGTTGGACCATCACCTGGAGGAGCAGTAGGTCCTGGTTAGCCATTCTAAACCCCCAGTGTGCTGAGGGCATCAGAGGGATACCTCTATGATGGACAGTGATTAGGTCAGTCACATGAGAGGACAGTGAGAATTGACCTGAACTTCAAAAGGCTTTGAAAGGTATGCAGAATTAAAACTCAGCCTTAGCAAGGTTTGCTGGACTATAATATTTTGAAATACCACAGTTTAGGATGAGGGCTGCTCTTGGGAAGCATGTGGTGTTTGAACCCCAGGCCTCTGACCTTGGAAAAGTTCTTACCCCTTTCTGTGCCCACTTTGAATAACAGTAGAACCTGCCTTTCCCATCTAGATTGAGAAGAGCCAGAGCCAACAGCCCTCCTAGGATACCAGCCCAGAACATGCTGATGCCTCCCTCCAGCTGCAGGTGTTCCCTCGCTGCCCAAGGGATGTGGTCATAAGACAGATTCTGCAAACCCTGCAGACCCTGCAGGAGGGCTCCCAGAGCTATGGCCCAGTTCAGCATCAACAGTGACCTTGGTGAGCAGGGCTTCAGCACAGACTCTGGCGAGCGGGCCCGTCTGCTGCAAAGCCCCTGTGTGGACACAGCCCCCAAGAGTGAGAGGGAGACCTCTCCTGGGGTTCTGGAAAGAGGCACCACTTCCACAATCGGGGCCATCTTCATTGTCGTCAATGCCTGCCTGGGCGCAGGACTGCTTAACTTCCCAGCAGCCTTTAGCACTGCCGGGGGTGTGGCAGCTGGCATCACACTGCAGATGGTGAGTGTATGGCCGTGAGGGCAGAGATGCAGTTCCAGTGGTGAATCCGGGCCCTTTGCCTCAAAAGGGAGGCATTGGATCAGGGAGGCTGTCATGCTACCACTCTCCTCCCTCACACATGGCAGACATTACTAATCTATTCCAGCATTCTTTCCTCTGAGCTCAGGTGAGGTGTCAGAAATCTTCCCAACAATCAGGGAAATTTAGACATCAACTGCATATTTAATACTTTTGCAGTTATGTTTTAAAAGTGGGCCATTGTCTTTTAGAACTATATGCTGAAGTATTTATGTATGAAATGATGTGATAGCTTGTATTTTCTTCAAAATAATCCAGAGTGGGAAAGGAAGTAGATGAAACAAGATTGGCTGTGACATATTTTTGAAGCATGGGGGTCCATTATACTATTGTGTCTACTTTTATGTATGTTTGAAATTTTCCACAAAACAAAACTTTTATTTTTTTTAAAGAAAATCTTAACTCCACAGCCTCCAGTAAGCTATTAAAGTTACCCTGCCAGATGAGACTCATTTGCCCAACTAGCTTGGGCATTGGCCCAGTAAATGCTGAGCAAGACCAGTTTACCCTTTATTGCCAGGCCTGTCCCACACCCTCTTGCTCTGTCCCTGCCTGCAGGGCATGCTGGTTTTCATCATCAGTGGCCTCGTCATCCTGGCCTACTGCTCCCAGGCCAGCAATGAGAGGACCTACCAGGAGGTGGTGTGGGCTGTGTGTGGGAAGCTGACAGGCGTGCTGTGTGAGGTGGCCATCGCCATCTATACCTTTGGCACCTGCATCGCCTTCCTCATCATCATCGGGGACCAGCAGGACAAGAGTGAGGTTTCCCTTGGGCATTCTGGGAGAGGGAGGGGCATGGAACACCCACCTCTGCCCAAGGCCTGGCCTGGGCCCCCATTCATCTGAGAATGCTCCCTCCTGGCTGCTGAATCCATTAGACCAGTGGAGATCCCGAGGCCCAGCAGAGCAGGAGGTCTGCACCCTGCAGTAGCCTGGCATCACGTTCCCTCCTTCCTCCCTATGCAGTTATAGCTGTGGTGGCAAAGGAGCCCGAGGGGGCCAGCGTCAGCCCCTGGTACACAGACCGCAAGTTCACCATCAGCCTCACTGCCTTCCTCTTCATCCTGCCCCTTTCCATCCCCAGGGAGATCGGCTTTCAGAAATATGCCAGGTTCGGAGACCTACCCCCATTCTGGGCCAGACAGAAGCTCTGATCTCAGGCAGCTGGAGACCCAGTGGCTGCTGGGGAGCCCCTCTCCTCTGTGCCATCTCACCTGCTGGGGCAGCAGGAGTGGGCAAGGCAGGGTGGCCCAGTGTTTGCAGGGGTACTGGCATAAGACTTCCTTTTGTGTTAGCAACATGGGAGACAGTAGCCCTTTGCGTAAGTGAGAGATTCAGATCCAAAGGTCCGCGTCAGAGAACGCACAGGTGATAATCAGGAGGGTGAGGCAGCCTCCTGGCCTGAGCCTTGGCTTTTCCGGGGAGGTTGAGATTCTCGATCATTCGGGATTGTCATCCTGGCAACATTTTTCCTGCAGCTTAATATGAAAGGAAAGCACTGGCTTCCTGGCTCAGGGCCTGAAAAGCTATGGGATTCTAAGCTGGTTCCTGTGATCCATAACTGACAGGGTCACAGTCAGCTGTCTCTGAGGCCCCTTTAACTGTTGGCATTCCAGTATTCGTACTTTGAATCTTTCACCTCCAGCATCTCCTAGGTCTCAAAGGCCCTGCTTGCATCCCTCACCAAATGTGGGCCGCTCTGACAGAAGGAGCAAGTGTGCTTTGGAGCCCACGCCCCTGAGCCATGGAGCTGAACCAACACATTTCCTGGTTCAGAAACATCAATCCAGTCCCTTACTGGAGTCCGGCTTCCTCTTAGCTGCAGTTGGTTTCTCCAAAGCTTATTTCTCATGCATTCCTTGAGTCTTTGCTTAGAATGGTCTCCCAGTAGACACTTGTGGTCACTAGACCTGAGGGTGGATGTTCTTGGGGTAGAATCAGGGAGAAGGCAGCTAGGACTGGGGAGGAGGAAGCTCAGTGCATTCTTCCCGGCAGCTTCCTGAGTGTTGTGGGTACCTGGTACGTCACTGCCATCATTATCATCAAATACATCTGGCCAGATAAAGAGATGACCCCAGGGGACATCCTGACCAGGTAGGTAGGAGGCCCCGGGACACCTGGGGTAGAAGCCACCCCTTGGGCCCCAGGAGGTGCTCGGTCAGAGTTTGAAAGGCCACGCAGGTGCTCTTCTCAAGGCTCATTAGCGCATTAGGGCCTGTCACTTCACACCAGTCACTGGAGGAAGGAGGCAAGGTGTCCTGATCTTTTTTACTGGAGGGGAGAGTGAGAATCAGAGACGGGGTAGACTTTGTCACTGACATCCAACAGGTGAGCCAATGTGAGACTAGGCCTCTGGCTGTAGAGACCACTAGGATGGAATTGCACATTTTTCCAACTAGTGCTTATCTGTAATTTCTATATATTCTATATGAGTATAAATCTGTTTTGTCACTTAAAAAAAAAAAAAAGATTCTTTTTTTGAAAGGAACAAACCAGAAAAGCAAAAGCCCAGTGCAGGCTTTGGTCCCAGAAGGGCCCTCCAGAGCCTCAGTTTACTGGCCTGTGAAATGAAATGGAGATGTGTCCTCTCCCCGTTCCACACTTCTGTGGATTGAATGTGTAAAATGCTGGTTGGTGGAGAACATGGTGGGCTGATTGAAAGTAAGGGTATGGGGGTGGTTGGTGGTTCTGTGGGGTTCACAGGCAGCAGACTCTTGTGTTTGTCTACAGGCCAGCTTCCTGGATAGCTGTATTCAATGCCATGCCCACCATCTGCTTCGGATTTCAGGTGCCAATTGCAAGGTCCCTGTTGTCCTCCTAGCGCACTCCCCACCCTGGGATGGAACCCATATTACTGGTAGGATGGGGATCCTGGGAGGGAGGACAAAGTGGGGGCCCTAGGACTTGCCCCTTGTCCCTGTGGTTTTTGTCCCCAAAATACCTTCTTCTGGAAACTAGGGGTGAGGTCGCTTCTCACCATAACTGTGACCCTCACCCTGACAGTGCCATGTGAGCAGTGTGCCCGTTTTCAACAGCATGCAGCAGCCCAAGGTGAAGACCTGGGGTGGGGTGGTGACGGCTGCCATGGTCATAGCCCTTGCTGTGTACATGGGCACAGGTGAGTGCGCCCCTCCAAGGGCCAAACTTGGAGAGCTCCTTCTTTCCCTCTTTGTCCCCAAGTTCCCTGGCACAGCTTTCCTGGGGACAGCCCTGCACTCCCAGCACATCAAGTATTGGCCTGAACCTGGGCTATCCTGGGCCTCCTCCCACCCAAATGAGAGATGTATTCATCCTTTCATTCAGCAGCCCTCAGTTGGTGCCTAGTAGGTGCCAGGAACTGCCCTCAGCATGGGAGATGCCATATAGATAGATAGACATGGTCCTGCCTTCATGATGCTGACATTCTAGCTGGAGAGAGTCTGAGAAGACTAGAGCAGGAATCAGTGTGTAATTTCAGACGGTGTGAGTCCATAGTGCCAGAAACAAGGAAGATGTGAGTGGGACTGGAAGGGGTAGCTTTAGTGGGGGTGTTCATAGAAGGCTCCTCCCTGAAGTAGTGGCATTTGGCAAGGCCCAAATGATGAGAAGGAACCAGAATCTGAAGAACTGGAGGAAGAGAGCTCCAGACAGAGGAGCCGGAAAATGCCAAGTCCCTGAGGCAGGGACAGAAAGAAGGTCTGAGTAGCTGGAAAGGTGTAAGCTGGGGGCAACTGCAGGCATTGAGGCCTGACGGGTTGGGGCCAGATCCTGTTAGGCCTTGAGGACAAGTTGGAAGCAGGAGGAAATGTTCTAAGCAGGAAGGGGCACTCACTGAAAGATGGCTGTAAGTGCTGTGTGGAGAATGGTTTGCATGAGGGAGCAGGACTGGAAGACCAGGAAGAATGGCCCTGTGATTTCTTCTGTAGGTGGTTCTCTGGGCTGGAACAGTTCTGCCTGTGAACACACAGCCAGGAACAAGAGAGGCAGATAGGCAGAGTTTTTCTTCTCCTGGGATTTATGTTCTGGTTACAGAAAATAAACAAGTGGAAGAATAAAAACAACAAAAAAACAGCGAGGGAGGAGAGCTATGAAGAAATAGAATGGGGGTGGAGGTTGTTGGGACGGGCTGGGAAGCATTCTCTGAGGAGGGGACATGTGAGCTGAGAGAGATGAAACATCGGTGCAGAAGCTCTGAGACAGGACCTGCTGGGCGAGGTCAAGATCAGAAAGGTGGCAGTAGGGGTGGGGTGGGAGAAGTCAGGGAGGGAGGCTTCTGACCCCACCCCGGCACCCTCTAAGGCCCAGTCGGAATCTCCAGAGCTGCTCCGTTACCCGCCCCTCCTGATGCCACACCTGGAGTGGCCGGTCTGTCCCCCACACCCTCCCAGGAATACCCTGGGACAGGAATTCCCAGGGACAGCTGCCCTCTTGTCCCTGCTCTCAGGCATCTGTGGCTTCCTGACCTTTGGAGCTGCTGTGGACCCCGACGTGCTCCTGTCCTATCCTTCGGAGGACATGGCCGTGGCCGTCGCCCGTGCCTTCATCATCCTGAGCGTGCTCACCTCCTACCCCATCCTACACTTCTGTGGGCGGTGAGCCCCCACCCCACCCTACTGGGGGGCAGCCTTTCACCTGGGCCTCTCAGGACGCATGGACGCCCTTTAAACATGGTCCTTTGGCCTAGTGTGGAGCCCATTTGGTAGAAGGAGAAACTGAAGCCCATAGGAAAGAGTCAGAGCCTCGGGTGGCCCTGCAAGTACCCCCAGCCAAGGCTAAAGGCCCCCTTTGTCCCAGGGTCCCCAGAACACTCTAAGTCCTCTAAGAATCTGCACCCAGATCTTTTCCTGAACACCCAGCCTCTGGGTACCCCAGACCCTTCCTTTTCAGAAGAATAATAATATCAGTTCCCACAGGGTGAGCACGTCCTGGGTCAGGTGGGGGGCTTATCCCTTCACATTCACCATCTCCTCTGGTCCCCACAGCGACCCTGAGAAGACTGCTGCTAGCCCCATTTTATAGAAGAAGAAACAGGCTCAGGAATTAGGGCCTTACCCATCATCCACCCAGCCAGGGGTATGGTTCTGCGAGCTGGAGGTGGGCTTAGCAGGGTGACTCTGAGCGCCTCTCCATTGGGCAGGGCGGTGGTCGAAGGCCTGTGGCTGCGCTACCAGGGGACTCCAGTGGAAGAGGACGTGGCGCGGGAGCAGCGGCGGCGAGTACTGCAGACACTGGTCTGGTTCCTGCTGACCCTGCTGCTGGCGCTCTTCATCCCTGACATCGGCAAGGTCATCTCGGTCATCGGAGGCCTGGCTGCCTGCTTCATCTTTGTCTTCCCAGGTGCGGCCCCCAGCAGTGCCTTTCGGGCCTCCGGGCCTCAGCTCCTTAGTTGCTCCCCTGGCGGGGAGGGTAACCACCAGCATGTACTCATCACCCACCTCAGGCTCTGTTCTGCGCCTGTCCAACCTTCCTCTGAAAAGAAGATGCATTTGTTACCTCCATTTTACTGATGAGGAGACGTGAGGTTCAGAGAGATTAACAAACTTGCCTGGAAGTTAACAAACCCAATGAAGGAGTAATGGAACCCTTTCCAGCCCAAGCCTGCCTAGGTCCACAGCCTGTATACTCTTAATTCTTTATTCAAGTTTCTGTTGTTTCTCACTATCAGGGTCTGGCTGATTCAGCCTGTTTCGGCCCAGAGGGTAATAGTGTCTGGCAGCACCCTAGTGCAGAAGCCAGGGGACCTTTTCGGGCATGGATCTGCTACTAGATTCCTGGGAAGTTGTCCCATCTGCCCAACCATGAGTTGTGCCTATACCCAGCCTATTTCTATCCAGCAGATGACCTGGAAAGCCCTTGCTTGGGACCTGGAAATCACATCTGCTCCAAAGTATACTGGGAAGGGCCCTGGTGTGTGGACTACAACTGAGTCACCTTCCATTACTGCCCCTTTAGCTCATGATCTTGAATGTAGCCCAAGGGGTGCTTTTCAGACCTCAGCCTCTTCTTGGAGAGCAGATGCCAGGCCTCCCCCTGCATGTGGTGTGGGCAGCAGAGTTGGAATATCTGGAAAATTAAACAGGCCTTTCTCCATCTATCTCCACTGCCTCTTGGTAAGGGGGGAGGCTGGGCCTGAGGGAGGGAGCCGACCCAAGCTCTTGGGCCACCTCTTCTCTTTCAGGGCTGTGCCTCATTCAAGCCAAACTCTCAGAGATGGAGGAAGTCAAGCCAGCCAGGTAAAGCAAGGCCCAGCCCATCGTCCTCTGGGTTGAGTAGGGGATGCTGCTGGAATGGGGGTGGCCTTGATGGGGGCCTTAAAATAGGTAGGTCATGAGACTCGTGTACTTAAAAAGTACATGAGTTTTCTAAATATTTTTTTGATGGGTAACATGCTAGTTATAATAGTTCAAATGCTACTGAAGGACTTCAGAGAAAAAAGTGGAAGTTTCTCTTTTCCCCACAGCCTGCTCCCCACCATATCCCTTCTGCTGAGAGAGCTCCATCATCAGAGCTACGCGTCTGTGTGCACAAAGCTATGCAAATGTATACACAGACATGCAGCTTTTGTGTCTAGCTTAGATGTTCCAAAAATGCTTTCATGACAGACGCTTTTCTGCCACTGCTTTTTTTTCACTTAACTACGTATCTTGGAGATCCATTTATGTCTGTACAACCAGATCCATCCACTTTTCCCTTTTTTAATGGCTGCAGAATATTCTGTTGTATAAATGTGTCCACACTTTTTTATCTGCCTTTTTTTTTTAATGTAATGGGTCACACTCCATGTGACCTGCTTATTCCTGAACATTTTTCTATTAGAGACGTGTGTTCTAATTCTGATTCTGCCTTTGGCTTACTGTGACAAGTCTGTTCACCCCGTTAGGTCTTGGTCTCCTTATCCATGGGACTTAGGAGTCATACACTTGGCCTACATACCCTTTATGAAAAGTCATTGAGAAGTAGGCAGTGCTCCAGCACTGGAGAAGTGCTTTAAGTAATTAGAGTGATTACCTGGGATACATTTTGAAGTCTGCAAAGTCACGGGTGGGTTGACTGACCAGGCCCCTCTCTCCCTTCACCCTACAGCTGGTGGGCGCTGGTCAGCTATGGAGTCCTCTTGGTCACGCTGGGAGCCTTCATCTTTGGCCAGACCACAGCCAACGCCATCTTTGTGGACCTCTTGGGTTAACCACTGCCTCCCAGGGAACACATGGCCTTTGCCATTAGACCCAGGAACCAATCTCTTAGAGCTGCGGGGCCACCCTGAGTCTGGCACCATTCCCCTCTACTGGTGGGATAACACTGGGACATCCTTTTCCAGGGACAGTTTTGGGGTGAAATCAGGCCCCACACCTCTGGACAGCTCAAACCCTGCTCACTTCCTGCTCTCCAGTCTGGTATTGCCATGGATGGTGGGAGAAATTCTCACGTCACAGAGGAACTTTCCCCCTTCTCTAACTCTTGACTTCGCCATCCCTGGAACGCATGGGTATAGGGGGTCAGACAGCCTCAGAAGAAAGGACTGAGCCTGATTTGCCTCTGGAGAGTGTGGGCAAAAGGCAGCTGGGACTCAGTGCCTGCTCCAGTCTGTCAGCAACCTGCCAGTGGGGGCTTCCTCTGGGATCTGGCAACTTCCAAAGGTACCACTGAAGTCATACAGATGCATAAAGATAGGTAGATTCACGCTTGCCTGGTCCATCCTAGGTCCGCAATGAGCCTGGGCCCATTCTTTCTCATCCTGATTGACATTTCCCAAGCCTTTGGGGCCTTACCCTGTCTCTTTCCCCAAACCTAAGGGTCCCGGCATTCCTCTCCTTCTCCATCCCCAGTCTAATGTTTACAAATGGTGCCAGCCGGCTCTGAACCAGGGGCCAGAGGCCGTCCTGTGCCACCACAGTGCTGAGTACTCCTCATTAGCTTTCCCCACGGTGGTGGGGAGTGGGGAGAGTCTGCTTTCCTCTCTCAGATTCCAGACGGGCCCCTCTTTCAAAAGGCACAAGGGTGGGTGATGGGGAAGACTGGGAACCTTTCAGATCCAACCAAGCTAGGCTGGTCAGAGTCAAGGTGAACCTCTCTGATAATCTTCTCATTCAGTGACTGCTCCTCCCTGCCCTCCATTTCCCCCCTCCCCTGCCACCCTTCGCATGATAGCCCAGAGAGAAATAAGGCAGTGGAGCTGTCATTGGGCAGTATATGAATACAGTCACCCCAGCCTGGAAGTTTCCCTTCCAGTCTGGCCCTTGTCTGCTCCCTCCCTTCCCCATCACTTCTTCGCCCTCTACCGCATATTTCTGTGTAGCTCAATCTCTTTTGCTCACATAAGACAGAGCTTGGGGGTGGGGAGAATGCCCTCTCTTGTCAACCTAGCTCCACACACCCACTCAGTGACCTGTCACTCACATCACTCCTGCATCAAGCCCCAGTGGGGGTGAGGAGGGACACTATTGTCCACCTCTAGTCCCATTTTTCTCACTGGCCAGCCCCAGGCACTGAATCAGGCTTCCTCCACCTGGAATGCCCAGCAGCCCATCACTCAGGGCAGTGAGGCCTAAGAAGCAGAGGCTGGGTGGAGGCGGGACAGTCTCCAGACTGGGTGACCTCTTGCCCTGGGACCAGGCCCACTCCTCATAGCACCTGTCCCTGCCAGAGTTAGGAGGATGGGCAGCCCAGACGACAGGGCTGCACAGTCTCCTAACATCGGATTTTAGTCAGGGGCTTGGGGAGGTAAGGAGAGTCATTGCATAGAACGGACCACTAGAAAAGGAGATGGCACCCTTCCTCTTGGCCTCACCTCAGGAGCCCCCTCCCCTGCCCTTTCTGCCAGAGTATTTTAACTGTTTCTTTTCCCCTGGTGCCCATTCAGACCAGGGAGGATGGTTAATAAAAGGGATTTGTGCTGCTCGGCTATGGGGCCTGGGTCTGATGCTGGGGACAGTCCAGGCCACTGACAGGAAGAAGAGAGGGTGGAACCCACAGCATGGGGCAAGGCCTTTCGGCTCTATCATCTATGACTCCCATCTCAAAAGGCACCACCATGTGCCCTTTCCCAAGCCAGAAACCTGCAGGTGGTTCTCCAAGCCTCCTGCCTTTGCTTCCACATCCCATCAGAATGTGCCCCCGTCTCCTGTCCTGCCGCCTCTGCCTTGGCTCAAGCACTCACCGTGACATCCCTGTGTCACTGACCTCAGACTGACCTCTGTGCTGTGTGTCCCTCTGACCTCAAATTTTGGAATGAGCTTTAAACTCCTCTAGGCATCTTTGCATCCACCCCTCATCTTTTCAGAGGCATATATTGAGCAGGCCCTTGTCCTGGTTGGGGAGCCAGTCCCTGTGCCCAGTGCTGATGAAAAGATACTCAGCAAAACAGACAACTCCACTCTCAGACTGCTGGGGAAGGCTGATGCTAAGTAAGTGATAAAATAAGTATATATTTGCAAATTGTGACATGGGCTAAGAAGGGAAAATATAGGATGTTATATTTGGGGGGTCTGAAGCTTTCTGGGGGAATCAAGGAAGGCCGGCCTCCTGGAACAAGTGACATTTGAGCTGGCCCCTGAATGGTGAGTGTTAAAAAACAAAATTCAGCCAAGTAAATCTGAAGATCTAATTGGCTTTATTAAATGATTTCCTGAATCAGGCAGCATCCCATCTAGCAAGTAGATGCTCCAAAGGGCCAAAGAAAGAGGTTTTTAAAAGCAGGACAAGGAAGTCACAGAACAGATTATTTCAGGTGAGGTCCCCTCCACTGGGGACAAAAAGGTCTTTTAAGTGGAATACCTCATCTTCCTTTGGGGGATAGAAAGGGCACATACGATAGATTATCCTACTGATGCTGACCTGAAAATTCCTGACTGACTACATTTCTGGAGGAGGTTGAAACTGAAACAAGGTTAGCTATTAAGCCCTGCTTTGGTACTTCGCCTAGCAGAAGTGGCTTCATGTTGGGCCTGTGGTTTTCTAACAGTAGGAATGAACTAAGTGAAGAGAAGTGAGGAGGCCTTTCCAGGCAGGAGGAATATGGTTGCTTGAGGAACTGAAAAGTGGTCAGTACAGGTGGGATGTTGACTGGGTAGGAAAGTGGCAGGAGGGGAAGATAAGAGCATTCTGGGATGGTCCTCAGTGGCTCCCCTTTGCCCTTAGGACACCCTACCTAGCTCATCTTCCACCACATTCCCCCTTCCTCCTCTAGTCATGTGCAAAGGTCCCCCCTTCCCAGGGGTGTGGGGACTCTATCCAAGAAGGAGCCACTCCCGAAGGGCTAGAGCACTGGTAGGACAGCTTCAGGCTGAGGTTCTTGCCTGACTAGGGGGCCAAGGGCTTGAGGTTTGGTTCCACTTTCTGTGCAAAGAGAGAAGGAAACACAGCCAAATTCATTCATTCATCCATTTTACTCAAGATATCTCTGTCTTGCTCACCACACTTGTAAGCACTTGATCAGTGTCTGCCTCCCCCATTATACCAACCTCCCATGGGAGCAGGGGCAGATTCATCAGGTCATAGCCCAGTGCCAGGCACACAGTAAGCAAGTGTTCAGCAGCTATTGGACAACTGAATTAATAGCAACTAACATCTGAGTTCTTAACCTTGTGCCAGCACTTTACTTACATCATCCTCATTTGGTCCTTGCAACTCAGAAGAGAAAGCCAAGAGAGATTAAATAGTTTGTTCAGAGACTCACAGGTAGTAAAATTAGAAAAACATTCTTGCCATGCTAGAATAAATAAGGGCCCTCTCAGAGCCAGCCTGGTGCTTTCTGGCCGCAGAAGGCAAGCTCTGGAACCTACTACCCCCATGCTGGCACCACCACCAGATCTTGGAGTCCACGGATCATTCCCAGCCGATTCATGCCAACTGGTGGGAACCTGCTGGCTGCTGTTTCTGGGCAAGTTGCCTCACCTCTTTGGGCTTCTGTTTTCACAACTTCATATGGGAGTGATAATCACTGACCAGGGTGTTTATGACTGGGGTAAAGAGGAGCCAGTGTAAAGAAAGTAAATGGGACATGATATAGGTGCTTTATAGCCAGAAATCCACATTTACAGAAAAAATGTGAAAACTCCATTTTTCCTTAAGGGGATACAGCAGGGATCCCCCCACTACTTCCTGGGAGTCAGGGTACTTCTCAAACTTAGTATGCATACAAATTTTTGTCTCCTTAGGATATACAAATTGCAATTCAGTAGGTCTGGAGTGGGGCCTTAGGTCTGCATTGTTAATGCTCCCAGCGTCGCCTTTCTCTCTGGTCCTTGGACCACATTTTGAGTAGCAGGGGCCTGGTGGACAGAGCAAAGGCTTTGGCCTCAGACAGACCCGGTTTGGAGCTCAGTACTGTTCCTTACACCGTGGGAATTCAGGGAATTAGTTCACTTCTCTGAAGCCCACTTTCCTCTATAAAGTGGGAGTGATGATGCCCACATTATAGACGTAAATATAAATCCACAGACAAATGGCATCATCGTATTTGTGAAGCACTTGGCCCATGCGGATTCTTACTGTTGGTCGTTTCCCAGTGCTGGAAGGAGGGGACTGTAGTTTCTTCCTTCAGTCAGTAGAGGTCACATTTGCACCATTTCTGCTCATGAAAGTGAGATGCCTGTAGCCACAGAGGTCCTCTGAGTCACGAGGGCTCCTGTTGATCTGGCTGTTGCCTAGTACTCCTTAGTGATGCCCCTCTGCTGGGGCTGGGTCACCTCTAGATCACAGCCTCCAGTCTGGTGGGGAAATCAGAGCAATCAAAAAGTCACAGAAACTACCTGTGTAGGTATATGTGCTAGATACAGATTAGCTTTTATAAATGCTATGATGCGATGAAAAAATTTTCAACAGGTGTGGAGGAAAGATAGACACACCATTGCCAGGAAGAAGGCAAACACTCTGCCCTGCAAATACTTTGTGTTTCCTGCACAGGGAATATTACAATTTTAATTCTTCCATTAAAAATGAAGTTGATGTGTTTCCAGTCTAGAATGTAAGAAGCGTGGAAGCAGCCACTATATTCTAACAAGTAAAAAGCTGAACAAAATGAAATTAACAACTCTTCTTAGATCTGTGAGATAAGTCAGGTTACAGAGCACTCCACTGCCCAAAAATTGGGAAGAATGATAGGCAGATACAGAACAGAAGGCCACAAGCAGAAACCCTTTCAGGAACCAGTGCCACTAGAGGGAAACCCAAACTGTGAGGAATTGCTGGAGGCTCACTGGACAAATCTGAGGGGAAAAAAAAAAAACACCAGAGGAGCCACTTATGGGTGGGTAGTGAGTGCACTTTTGTGCCCTTTACCTCCTGGAGCTCTACCAGTTTTGCATAGTAAACATCAGAGAAAAATCCCCTCCTGCTTCTGGCAGGGCAGGGTAAAAGGAACAATTTACAACTGTGCCAAAGCAGTCTATTCTTAACAAGATCTGCCTTCAAGAGAAACTTTAAATTTAACCGGCAGAGAGCCTATCCAATAAAGGAAGGGAAAAACCCAGTTTTAGCCTTCCACATGGAGGAGGAGAAATAACAATTCCAGCCCACTATACCCACCCTGTCCCACCTAAGGGGACTCAGGAGGGGAAATGGAGGGCTCATGTGTGAAGCTCACAGCCCAGGAGCACAGTCTCACTAAAAGACTGTGATCTAATCATGGGGCTATAGACTGTTTCCCCTCTTGCTGTGCCTTGTCACCACATGACTAAAAGCCTATTTACAACAGTTCCTTTTACCCAGTACATCATAACTGGCTCTCAAGAAAAAGTTACAAGACACACTCAAAGGCACACACACACACAAAAAAAGACCCACACAGTTTGAAGAACCAGAGCGAGTATCAGAACTAGATTCAGATATGGCAGAGAAGTTGGAACAATCAGACCAGGAATTTGAAACACTTAATAGGCTAAAGGCAGCATGCTTCCAAAATAGACTGGCAATGTGAGCAGAGATGAAAATTCTAAGAAAGAATAAAAAAAATGCTAGAGATAAAAAACACTGTTAAAGAGATGAAGAATGCCTTTGATGGGCTTATTCGGAGCCCCTTATTATTAGACTTTATACAGATGAGAAAAGTATCACTGAGCTTCTAAGATATCTCAGTAGAAACTTCCAAAACTGTAAATCAAATAGAAAAAAAGAAAAGAAAACCCAAGAATTTTGGAACAACTCCAAAAGAGTAGTGTACATTAACAGTAATGGGAATACCAGAAGAGAAAGAAACAGAAAAAATATTTGAAACAATAATGACTGAGAACATTCCCATCAGACGCTAAACCACAGAACCAGGAAGCTCACAAGTTACAAGCTGGATAAATACCTAAAAATATGACACCAAGTCATACTTGTAAGATAAATTCTGGCCGAAATAAGCAGGCGATGAGAGGCAACAAAGGGCCAGGCAGTTTATTTGAGCGCAATTCCCGGGGGAGGTCCCCTGGTCTGGCTATCACAGGCTGGGGAAATCACACCCAGGAGGCCAGGTGGGGAGTTTTTAAGAGAACTGAGAAGGGAGGAGGAAATGGGCCGCGCTAGGGGTATGTGGGGAATTTTTTATTGGCTCAGGGTCGGGTGATGGACAGCCAGAGGTTTCCTCCTTCCGGATGGAGGGGGTCTGCATCGGGTTTGTCGGAAGGTTATGGGACTGGAATCCAGGAAGAACTGTTCATTCCTTCCCCACACAGCACAGAGCTACTTGGTGCTGTCTCTGCTCCACCTGCATTGTCCTCACCCTTCTCCCTCCAGTGCCTACAGCCTTACAATACTAGTTTTCAAAACATAAAAAAACAAAGATAAATTAAAAAATCTGAAAGAAACCAGAGAAAAGAAACACATTACTTAGAGAAGGAAAGGTAATAGTTACATCTGACTTCTCTCCATGCAAGCAAGAAGAAAGTGAAGTATTTTAAATATCAAGAGAAAGAAACCACC